CCCATGGTGATGGAAGGCGACTCACTAAATGTGATAAAGTGGATAAAAAAAGAAGCTGAATTTCCTTGGATGTTACATGGTTTGGTGAGAGAAGTAAGTTTCGAATTCAGGGGTTTGCTTGTTAATTTTGTTCATGTATTCAGAGAAGCTAACAAGGAGGCCGATGAACTGGCTAAAGATGGTGTATCCTTAGCAAATTTAAGTGTGATTCTGTAAGTTAATTTTCTTGCAGTAGTTTTGTTGATTTTTATCTGTTTTGGTTGTAATCTTTTTGGGCCTTCATGGTTCTGTTTTCGGGGCCTATGTTCCTCTGTAAAACTGTTTAGCCTGTATAGCTTCGTTATGAATGAATGAATGAATGGTGATTAATTCTAAAAAACAATTGGTGTTGGTTGAGCTTCTGGCAAGAAATCTTTGCAAATGGAGTGCACTGTTGAATTTTATCAATGATTGGAAAATTAAATTTTCACGACTAGTTTTAAGGGGAACTTGATGACATCATGCTCAAGGATAAACTATGGAAGTGCATCGCAGGGCTGAAAATCGGCTAAGCAGCCCAACTCGGCCTGGCTTTGAAAATTTTGAGCCTAGGCCACAAATTTTGACCCAGGGGACCGGTTTGGCTGGCCTTGGGCCAGGGACTAATTCAAAAATAAATTTTAGTAGAAAGAGATAAAGAGGTGCGTGAATTAAAAGAGAGAAAAAGTATTTTACAAGATTTTTTTGAAACATCCTAACATCTCTCACTCTCATTCTCACTTCCAATAAGAGGTCTCTCTCTAATAAGTTCTATTTATTCTATTTTAGATGAAACTCATTCAATAGAATGAATCCATTCACTTTGGTAAAGTGAATAATGACTTGTATTTCTTTTTCACGCCAAACTAAAAGGCGGATTTGATTTTAAAAGTGAACTATGCCCTGCTCTATTTTCATTAGGCCACACTCTCTCTCTCTCCTTCCTGCAAAGCTTCGCAATAAATCTAACAAAAGCAATTTAATGAGTTTGCATGCATGATGTAAACTTTTCCATGAACATAAAAGAGATTAGAATACTTTTTCCTAAATTGAATGCATAACTTCATTGTTTCACAGGTCTTCATTATTTTTCTGGTTTTCCTTGTGCAATGTGCATGTTTAGAGAGACTAATTGCATAAACGAATACCCACTAGATATTATGGATGGTTTTATTTTGTTAGTTTCTTTTGGTGCCATAGGGTATGTTTTGATATACTCATTAATTCAGCATTTTAATAAAATTAATGAGTTACCGGTTGTTTGATAGTGTGAGGCATAAAATTATCTGCGATGAATTTATAGATAGCATACAATAGGAAAATCTTGTCATAAGTAAATTAATTAAGAAAAAGTACGACCATTCTTTTGGAACAAGGTGATCACAATTGTTGTTGTTACCCGTTAGATATGAAATCAGATGGCTATGAGCATTCTATTGACTTGGTCCAAAGTCTATAAAAGTTTTTCTCGAAATTTCTAACAAACTTCAATGTCTAAATTCACATCTGACGATTAATAATGGTTACGCCTACCTTATACCAAATATAAATGGTCTTCTAATATACAATCCCACTAATTAATGTTCATACTTCCGCTTTTGGCCATGGGGCCAATCCTTTCCCTCCCCACACAAACAAAGGAGAATTTCATGTCCATCTTACTTACAGGACACACTTCTCAACAATCATTGCAATAGCTAGGATAAAAATGTTATGAATTAGTTATATACAAAGAATTATGTTTATGAATAACTGGAGTGTCTCAATATGTAAGTTGAGTTAACGCCTAGTTTTTCTACAACGAAATTACAATTAATTTTACAATTATTCCAATGGATTTTTTTTACAAAGAGACCATTTATGTTTTGAACATGGAGGTTATAATCTTTCCCATTCATTAGATATCAAATTGGATAGATTGGAGTGAATCACAAAGTTTGAGATTTATTTTTTGTGGCACTTTGCATCTATTTGTGACACTCTTACAACCATCCATTTTTAAATTTAACAGACAAGTATGATTGTGACCACTATGAAAAAATTAAATAAATGGTCTCTTTGTAGACAATCCCTATTTTAATTTATTTCAAATACCCAATCATGAAAACGTTAGTTAACTATTGGTTATATACATGGCTAACCCATACGCTGTTATTTATTCCCAAATAATGTATTTGACATAAATGTTGCATCCTTGGATAATAAAATGTTAACTATCCTTTTGTTACGTTTCTATAACTTGAATTATACAAGACCCACTAGCTCACCACTACCATCATCCTTACAATTAAAATTCAAAAGTCAATATCCCCACAATTGATTTTCTTCCTCATCCAAAATATGAAAAATTTCATTATTGGCTTTCTTCTTTATGACACACTCTTCAAGAATCATCACAAATTGAGCATTTGTTACTTTTACTTTATGTGTAATTTTAGATGAATAAAATTTATAAATTAATTAAAAATAAATAATTATAGGGATATATATCAAAAGAAAAAATATACAATGAGACTATTTATCTTTGGTCCAAGGTGGTCACAATTAATCTTGATCATGAGATGTGAAATTAGATGGCTACATTTATTCCATTGATCAAACTCAAACTTCAAAATAAATTTTCTCGAATTTTATGACGCACCCAAGCTATTAGATTTTACATTGGATGGTAGTAAGTAATTGTGACCTCTTTGTATCAGAGGTAAATGGTCTCATTATAAAAGTATACAACGACACCATTTATGTTTGGTATAAGGTGGTCACAATTAATCTTGACCATTGGATGTGAAATTAGATGGATACATTTATTCCATTGACCAAGCTCAAACTTCAAAACAAATTTTTTCAAATATCGTGAGACGCCCAAGCTATCATATTTCATATTGGATGGTTGTAAGTAATTGTGACCTTTTTGTATCAAAAGTAAATAGTCTCATTGTATACAATCCCTAATAAAAACTTGGTATAAAGGGATTCACAATAAGAGGATTCATGTAGTACCGGAGAATGGGGAGCCATAAAAGGTGGTTAAAAGCGATGATAAATGAGGGACAAAAATCTTAAAACTTAAGAATCTCAAATTTTTGCTTTCCTTTAGATAAGTATATGGGCACCACTTGAGCTTGAAGCCATGAATCAAGGGTATTGTGGTTTTTTTTTGAGTAATTTAGTGGGGAAGACAGGCCGTATCCGTTTTTTCAAATAGATTAGGAGTTAGCTTTTGGAAAGTATTAGTAGGATGTGGGGTGTACCACCACCAGCCCCATTCTCAGGTATTGTGATTGAAGGCATGGGTTTAAGATAAGGTAAGCATACTAAACCCAATAACTTAAAAGAAAAAAACCAAAATGCATCAAGCCCTTAAATGGCCATTGAGGTGGTTGGAGCCCACCAAGCCAAGGCATGTCTCTCTCTTCAAAATTTGCCTCTCACCCTTAAGCACATAATGCCTTTTGTTTTTATTATAATGATCTCATATTTGAGATTAATGGATACAAAATTGGGATTTCTTGGACCTGACTCATCCAAAAAAAATGCAAAAAAAGAAAAAGAAAACAAAAATAGGATTGTCATCCTTGCTTTGTGTAATAGTTTGAGCCTAGTCAAAAGAGATCTAATCCTCTTGTTGTTGCACTGACGAACCAGATTCTCCAATTCGCTGTCAAAGTAGTTTCCATGCCAACCAGACAAGATCATATGTTATTAGCATTTTCTGAAATAAATTAACCTAAGGAAAAAAGAGCATGTGAGAATTCAAATGCTTTAGGTTAGACTAGTTATACAAGCGGTAATAGTGACCAACTTTTTTTCACAAGAAGGTCAGGTCACAATTACTCTTAGCCGTCAAATGTAAAATCGAAAGACTAGTATGCCATTGATAAGCCTCAATGACCTATTTTTTTTTCCAATTCTTTTTTTTTTCAAACTTTGTCTCAAATAATGTCACACCATCTTATACCATAGATAAATGGTCTTAATGGTATAAGATCTACAATGAAAAAGATAGGCATAGCCAAAATTTAAAATATTAGTTTTATTAAACAGATGGAAGTTGATCAATGGAAACTACCTACATTCTGCTACCTTTATTTATACATTAATTTATATTTATGCCAAGTGCTGCCAACGGGCCATGCTAGCCCTAGACTAGCCCTGGTGTTGGTTCCAATAGGGCTGGCCCTTGCTGAAAAGCCCTTGGCCAGGCCCAGCCCTAGCGATGTTTGGAACGGACCGGGCCACGCAGCACATTACGAGTCCTACTTGTGCCTGCGTGAGCATAAATTGTTTTGAATATTTACTCTCTTGTCTTCTTTCTATTTACTAAATTTAAAAGTTCATTCAAGGTATTATTCTATAAATTGCAAAGAAGTTTTCTATCTCATTCTAAAAGCAATGTTGGAAACCACTATTTAGGCTGAGTACTTGGCCCATGCTTGATTCGAGTACTCGGACTGAGTCCAAGCAACTCAGCCAGAGTAGTGCCAACCACTGTAGCAATAAAAAATGGTTAAAAAACTATAAAAAATACAAAAAAATTAAAACAAATAGGAAATGTATGTTCAAAGTAAGATTAAGCAAAACACATGAGGTTAAAAAAGTAGTAAAAAACTACATTTTAAAAATAAGTTGTGACTGGGGTATTTTTAAAATAATCCAAAAAAGATATGAAAAATATAAAAATAAGTATTTATGGCCAAAACACTTTCCAATCTTTGCCAAAATAATAAGAAACATAAAAAAATATCCCAAATAAATTTGTTATTTTTGAGATTTTTATATGATTTGTTTTGAATTTTTTTAATATGGACTTTGGACACCCTACTCGGGCTTAGCCAGGGCTTGAGCCCGATTAACTCGGTACTCAGCCGACTTTGCAAATGCTGTCTAAAAGTCTTAACTAGCCCAAGAAAAACAAACTACTACATACAAACATGTGAATTGCATGGATTGAAAGGCCATACCGCATTCACTGTATTTTGGCTTCAGATTGCCAAAGGGTGAATCGTAGATGTTCCGGTGGTGTAAGTTTCAGGCCCCTGAAATGTTGCAGTCTCAATTGGAGCAAGCACTTCATTTGTCTCCACGCGATTGCTCTTATCGTTCAAACCAACTTGATCAGTAAGGTTCAATGCATTATCGTTTATTATTAAAGAACTCGCGGATGAATTGGGTAAGCAATCTGGATTTGATTGTGGATGTTCCCTGTAAATCAAAATTTTCTAAGTACTAGAGTCTGGAAGAACATTATTTGGGCCTACTTTCTTTTTGGTACATTTATTCATTCATCATCAAGAGATGTGTCTATGAATTTGTTCTTTTCTTTTGTTCAATGTTGTTTAGCTAGTTATTTATTTCTCAACTAATTATGAAAAATACCGTATGGAGTGCTGAGAATTGAATTCTAAGAAAATTTGAAGTGGGGAGCGTGTTTCCCTTGGTGGGAACCAATCCGGAATTTGAGCCGAATTGAACCCACCAGCATTTGAATTCTCTCCATGATAATATGTCTGCATATATATTTTTTATCATACAAAGGTCAATCAAGTCAGCCCAATCTCAGAAGAAAAAGTTTCTGTTTTGAGAAATTTTGCTTTCGAGGAAATCTTTTATAGGTAAATTTCCCACTGCTTCCAAATCACGCTGCACCACACAAACAAATAGACTTTAGAATATATATATATATATATATATATATAACTTTGAAAACAACAAATTTCACTCAGCATAAAAAGAACAAAACATGATTGCATAATTTGCTATGTGCATTGAGATCTAACTTTGCGATTGTTTAGTTGACTGAGTGTATCTTGAAGGATATGTTCATAGTATTCTGCTTCTGATAGTGATGCGATCCTTATGGGTTCACCTTCGAATATCCTAGAATGAAGATAAAGATGTGAAATATTCATTTGCTTTGTTTTCTACTTAAATATAGTTTGGAAATGAGTTATTTTCCCATAAGTGCGAAAGGGGTACCTTAGTTTTCTCTCAGCATCCTCCAATTCATGCTGGACCCTAATAATTTATTGTTGAAGCTCTTAAAATTTCCAGAGTAGTTGGATCTCATGAGAAAAAAAAAAAAAAGATGGATAAAACAAGAATCACAAGATCGTAAAGGAAGGAAAATGAAAGATCAATTATGAGGGGATTGCATATTATAAGACTGCTTATCTTTGTATACAGTGGACACTAGATAATTTATAAAAAGATCTCAAACAAATATGTGATTGAAAATAATGGTCGCACATCAAGCCAAGCTTCTTAGCTCTCTAATTTTACCATGATTCTCCAAAGGAACAATATTCAACTCTGCATTAAAATCCTACAATGGCCACTATTTATATCTAAAACCTTAACTCTTAAGAAATACTAATTCTAGTATGACTAGAACTTCTAGTTATAACACAAATTCCTAATGACATTTTTAGCCTTGAGAAAATAAATAAAATTTTCCAAAACTTTGAACTATTTAACATCTTAACTTTGATGTATTTTCATAAATTTTAAAACTCATCTTCATGTATTGTATGATGTCTAATTGAAATTTGACAAAAAAAAAAAGAAGAAGATGGGCTATTTGAAATTAGATTAAAAAATTACGGGTAAGTTGTTAAATAGTTCAAATTATAGCTTTAATTTTGCTTAATTTTCTTAAAATAAATAATTCCATAGAGATGCAAATTATAATTTTTATAAAATGCCACTAATACACCTAAAAAAATCTTATAATCCCTAAAAAAATTCAAAACCCCAAAAATAAAACTTAAAAAGTACAAAATATAACCCTAAAATTTAATAATATTAGGCATCCTTACTTGCATCACTTGGGTGCAAAAATATTGGAATGACCCCTAGCCATTTCATTTGAAATCAGGTGGCTAAGGATGTATCACAAAGTTCAAGAAAGGTTTTTTTTGGACCTTGTACAAAGTCAATAACATATTCCTAATCCGATTTAACATCTAATGATTAATAGTGATTGTAGTCTTGTTATAACAAAAATAAACAGTTATTGTTTTCTATATAAATAAGTTGTGGGCGTACCTCAATGCGTGGGTCCGGGTTGGTTGAGATTCTTTAAGACAGTAAACAAAGAACCCACCATTAGAAATAAAACAAAACAATCAAGAGAGGTTAGCACAAATGAAGCCCTTCATTTATAAACACGAATGAAGCCCTTCATTTATAAACACGAATTTTGCATATGTGCGTGAGAGAGAAAGTGAGGTACCCGCTCAATTGAGAGACCAAATCTTCTTTCGACCTCAGCTTCACAGGTCTTCTCGGACATGATGTTTTGCAAAGTTGATAACAATAGTTTCCCTCAAGTTTGAGTAGGGTTAGAAATTTGAGTACGCATACACATGCACAAGAGAGAGTTACCTCTTCATTTTGAAATCTTTTGAAGTTGTAGGCAAAGCATAAATGAGAGAGCAAATGAACCTAATTACTAATAAAGGAAAAAAGAAATGTGAGGGTATGATAAAAGGCACCATGGATAAACAAATGGAACCTGTTAAATAATGAGAAAATTATAAATACCCCTGAACAAATTTTCTATGCATCTTGGGGCATCTGTAATTTTCCCTTCAATTTTAAACTCGTACCTCTCTCGTATATGCACAGGAAGGTCTACATAGCGAGCAAAAACTTCTTCAATCCTGCAAAAGAATACTCAAAAGAGAAAAAAAAACAAAAAAAACAGGCGATATAGTCATGATCAAGCTGAATATTCAAAAATAGGAAAGACAAAGAAAAGGAGAAAAAATGGTCAATTTCTTGACCTCTTTTTTCCAAGAGAAAACACCGAGCTTTCTAGTTTTGGAGAACATCATAAGAGCAATATCCACATCACAGAGAACATATAGCTCATAAGCCTTCTGGAGAAGGCCATTTTTTCTCTTTGAATAAGTCACTCTCCTATTTGGTTCGTTCTCTATCATCTTCCTTTCAAGCTTTCCTCGCCCCATTTTCTCCTTGCTACCACTGTTAGACCAAAAAATAACAATACTTCTCTTTGAGTGAAATTGAGAGAGCCACTTCTCTTCGAGTAACAAAATGAGATAGCAATTCAGGCCATTTTATTGGCAAAAATGAATAATACTTCTCTTTGAGTAAAAATGAGAGAGCAAAGTGATGGCTCAAAATAGCTGAATTCTCTATGAGGTCCTGCCTCCATTGTAGACAAGTATAGAAAATGGAATCGAGAGTAAAAGAAAATGGAATCAATGGTATGTTGGTGCATTTTAGAGAGAGAGAGAGAGAGATCGGGTGTGTAACTTGGGTTTATTGCATGTTTTGTCTTTGTTTGGGTCACAAGTTTAACCAATATATTTTAAATCTTCCAAGGGAGGTGCTACTCTTACTCAACTCTAGCATAAAATATGCCCCTAACGACGATTTAAATGGTCTTTTTTAGTGCATTACCCATACAACTAAAAAAGATTGAAACATAGTTCCATGAACAGTATGGTCCTATCCTTCACTTAGTTAAGATGCACCAAGATTCAATTGAACTACATCTTCAATAGATATCAAGCAATTGTGAAATGACTTTATGTTCCTGCTTAGAGGAATTTTGAATCCCTATTGAACTTGTAAAGCCTTGTTTCATCTTGCACAAACAAAAATATCATTGCACAATATCCTACTTTTTGTAAGCATGCCAATAAAGCAAATAAGTTACCATAATGCTTTTCACCTCTCATTATTCTTTTCGATATCATAATTAATATCCTGAACAGAAGAGCCGAGTTTTCATTTGAGGAAAGTAGTCCATATATGTGTTGTTTAGGACATTCATGGTACGTCGCCATGAAACTTACTCTCGGTAACTAATGAGATGCTAATTTCGAACAATGCGGATTATGTTTCGCTTACAGTATGGTAGATGCCTAGTTGTGCATTACACACCATTTACTGGAGTTTTTATAGAGTAAGGCATAAAGCATAAGGTTTAAGGTTTGAATTTAAGCCAAATACTAAAAAGTATTGGTTATTGTTAAAAATATTCATTATAATTTCAAAGGTACAACATAAGGCTATGGTATAGTACTATATGGTTAGGAGTAGTGGTCCTTTGGAATTAGGAAAAAGTTCGTACCCTTCCTACATCCAAAAATGTAACTTAATGAGCTAGAGCATGGCAATACGTTCATTTTTCAAGTGGGAGTACCACTTCATGGAACTTGAATAGAAACCTAGGGGTGCTTATGATATTTCATGTCTAATCTCTGGCCTTGTCTGTCATGAGAATAGTGAAGTGAAGCCCACAGTTGTTAAAACCCTAAAAAAAGACTAGTGGGATAGTGTTATAGTTTTTAAGAATGAAGATTTTCCCCCCCTAGAATCCAGGCCCTCTCTTCTCTCTATGCACCCATGGGAAAAAATAGGAGGAAAAGATAAACCTTGCCATTAATTAGAACATATTATCTCGCTCTAAGCATGCATAGGAAAACATAGAAAGAAAATATATGCTTTTCCATTACTCCCTAACAGAAATTTTATTTTATTGTTCTAAACCTAGATTCAAATCCTCTTTCTCAAAAATATTCAAACTCTCTTCCTCTCTCTATATTTTTTTAATTGAGTAGCTATATATGACAATATCTGTGACAATATCTACAATTAATTTTTGCTGCTTTTCCTGGTTTTCACTGATGATTACGTTGAGAGAGAGAATCTCAAGCCTCACGGTCAACCCTGGTGGGATTTGATATTTGATGGCTCCAATTAATATCCTCTCTCTAAAAAACATTCAAACTCTCTCTCTCCATGTCTTTAATTGAGTAACCATATATAACAATATCTACAATTCATTTTTTTTTTACTGCTTTCCTTAGTTTTCAATGATGATTGTGTTTAGAGAGAGAATCTCAACTGTCAAGGTCGACGTTGATGGTATTCGAAGGCTCCAATTAATATGTCTAGAGAGAGAAAATTGCATAGGTACAGTGAAAAGAGACATACCATTCTTTACGAAGTTGGGAGCCATGGTCCCATTTTGCTATCAGCTTTAATGTAGTTTTGGTACTTCTGACCTCCAAATGGAATTATGAATTCCAAGCCCTTTTTCAATGGGCCTTTTTGTTTTACTCTTGGGAGGGATCTTGCTCATTTCTTCTTATATTTTGCTTCTACAAAATTAGTTTAAAAGTCACATCACGATAGTATATGATATTAAAATCTACAATCTACATTGATATAGAGTTATATTAATGTTCATAAATTTTTTAGGGAGTGTTAAGTTAGCATGGGAAAATAAATTAGAAATTGAAGTAGTGTTTCAAAAAATGGATGAGTCAAAATTAGTGAGCGGTCTTGTCCAGTTAAAGCCAGCTTAACATTGGTCGAACTGCTTGGAGTGGATTTTAAAAAACATATAAAACTAATATTTGAAAACCTAAAAGATAAGAGGCACTATAGAGTAAAAGTCCCCTTGTTTATGAACGAGTTTCTTTCCCAAGACCCTAAAGGTCCAGCTTGGTCGGGACCAGGCCAAAGTGACCCTTACCTAAGCCCAACCCAGCTGTTGAGTAGATGGCAGCCCTGACCAGGTTAATGCTATTGGATGGGAAGAGCCTGGCTTGCTACAAATTAAATTTCCTTCACATACATACCATGTATATCACATATTTTCTAGAAGAATGGAATGTAAATAGCAATGTTTTAGTGTTCAGATTTTTGCCACTATACAGATCGTACCATTATTTAAATCTTGTTTTAAACATTTTTTTTTATTTTTTATTTTTGCTAGGAAAAATTGGGTGTCAAATTAACATACGAGTGGTTTATAGGAAACTTACCTAAGCGATAACTAAAAGCTTGCAAAAGAATATGCGATGTTCTCATTTAAAAGAATACACTGAAAATACTTGGACGAGTTTCTAGTATCTGGATTTATAAGTAAGGCATAGGAGCACCATGCCACGGCATTATGTGTGGGAACCCCAACTAACCTACACAAAAAAAAAAAGATCTTAATGAAGCAATAATAAAAATGAATAGAAATAAAATAATCTTTCATTGTGATATCGGATTCGTTTGTCATTATAATATGTTGTAAAATCCAATGAGAATAGCATCAATACCAATTTATCTGCACACATATCCAATAACTACTTTCAAAAGATATAACAACAGATTCTAACTAAAAAAGAAGTCGTATAGTTTTCTACATAAAAGTGGAATGCTAGGATTGTATTAAAACAAATGAAACATCAAATATAGGTAATGTAGCATAAACATATGACTAAAGAACGATTTGGTAAAATTGATATTTCAAATATGAATTGGAGAGACTTTCTTTTATTCAAAAGTTATTATTTCTATGATTTTGAAAAAACAATATGTAAGGCATGGGATTAAAAACGCACGGTGATGAAAGAGATGTAGATTGACAGACTTAGAATAAAACAGAGGGAACAAATAAAAAACTAATGAGGATCCAGGTGAATTGAAGAGGAAAAGATCCTAAATAAAAAATCAGTTAAATACACTAAAAATCTTTGATAGCTAAACATATTGATTTTAACTTTGAAAAGAAAAATTCCAATCTAAAAAATGTTCGAGTTGGATTACTAGTTTGATTTATACATTTAGGGAATGAATGTTCTGATGTTCTATATACAATAACAAGAAGTCTAAAATATGATTCAAATAAAAGTCCAAAGGTGATATTAAACATGAGAAAAAAAAATTAATTCCAAAAATGAAATACATAAAAGGTATTAAATTTAGGTTATAAATCTCGTGTCTTTAATTTTATAAAATTGTACTAAGAGATATTTTTTGGGACTTCAGATCTTCTTTATAATTAGATGTGATATATATATATATATATATATATATATATAGAGAGAGAGAGAGAGAGAGAGAGAGAGAGAGAGACGTACGTACGAAGTAAGTTAAGTTTAGGTTAGGTTTTTAGTTTTTTAAGGTAAGGTAGTACGTA